CCCCCCCCCCCCCCGAGACAGCCCTACCTGTGCCATTCATCCAGCATGTGGACCAGTTATAAACTACTCATATGACCCACAGGACCAGACGAGTTTGATACCTGTGATGCATAAGCTTTTGTGGGCCCAAGCTTACTTCATCAGATGATGGCGTCACAAAAGTTTATGCTATTACTGTCTCTGTTTTAGCCTATCAAATGCAAATCTTCTCTGCCATCTATCTGACTTCAGACTAATATGGCTGACTACCTCTCTCACTGTCTAGTAAACTAACTGATTTAGAGTAGGTACAGCCTGCTTCATCAGATGCTTTGAATGAATTTGCAGAGAGCAGGGTAAAGATAAACAAAAACAACAATAATGTGGATCCCACGTTCCATGCTGGTACTGCTAACCCCCAGTGGGTGCATCTACACATGCACTTTACTGCACAGTTAACTAGCTTTGCAGTAGTGTCACAATCTACACGTGGGCTGGTATTAGGAATCAGAGTTCTCTGCTCAGCCAAGCTGGTCTTCTGCCATACTTGCTAGCCGTTCTGCGCATTGGGGTGGTTCATTCCTGTGCCCTCAGTAAGGTTTCTTTAAAATACAACCAGCTCTCCTGGACCCCTTTCCCCCTCAGGCTGGCTTCCCAGGGGATGCTGCACATCAGTTCCCTGAGTCAAAATCTGCTTTTCTGAAGTCCAGGGTCCCCTTCTTTCCTTACCTCAGATTCTTGATTCAGTCAGTTTGTGGTCAATGCTGCCCAAGATGCCATCCACTTCTACATTCACTACCAATTTTGATATGTATTTGTCATGTTTTAAACACTAGATTTAGACACTAAAAGTACCCCCTGAAGCTTTAGATAGATGCACACTTTTGGGTTGTTTTCAAAACAGCAAAGTTAATTAGCCAGCATTAGGTAGCAAACTGACAAATTAAAACTAAACCTCTTTCTGTAGTTAAACTGGTTTTTTGGATCGGCAGGTGTATTTTCCCATTCCATTATAATAAAAAATAATAAGTTTGGGGAATTAAATGTTGCAAACAGATTTCATTTTCTTGATTTATTACTTTTTCATTTGGCACTTATCTGTCCTATAGATTCATAGACATTTCATAGACATTAGGGCTGGAAGGGACCTCAGAAGATCATCGAGTCCAGCCCCCCGCCCAAAGGGCAGGAAGTCAGCTGGGGTCATAGGATCCCAGCAAGATAAGCATCCAATTTGCTCTTGAAGGTGTTCAATGTAGGTGCTTGAACCAGCTCCGATGGCAGGCTGTTCCAGACCTTGGGGGCTCGGACAGTAAAGAAATTCTTCCTTATGTCCAGCCTGAAATGGTCT